GGGCACCGTAGCCAGCCCGTGCCCCTTTAAGGGGTCCGGGGCCGGGATGGGGGCATAGAGTTTCCCTGGTGTTGGCCAGAGTGGCCACCAGGGAAACCTGGGGAGGGCTAGCCTCCCGCTAGTTCGAATTAAGGGGCTACACAGCCCTTAATTCGAACTAGTAAATTCGAACTAGGCTTAATCCTCGTGGAATGAGGATTACCTAGTTCGAACTAAGCGCTCCGTTGGTTCGATTTAAATTCGAACTAATGGAGCGCTAGTGTAGCGCCTATCAAAGTTAGTTCGAACTAACTTTGTAGTGTAGACATACCCTAACTTCTTGAGATACTGAAAAAGCTTTGGTACCAATATGATTATCCCTCTCTAAGAGGATAGTTCCAAAGATTTGGAATGCTCTGAAAAGGGAAGATGAAGTTTCTCACCCTGTGCAGTAATGACGTTTCTTCGAGGTGTATGTCCCCGTGGGTGCACCATTTGAGGTGCCGGGCTCGTCCCGGTGCTGCAGGTCGGAGAGTCATCAGCCATGGTCCAGCCGGACCGTGCATGCGTGGGGCACGTGCTGCTCGCACTGATTATTAGCTTGCGCTGAGTCTGGCTTTCCGCCAGTTCCTCCTAACCAGGTCACTCCTGAAAAACATAAGGAAGAAACTCCGAAGAGAGGAGGAGGGAGGGTCGAGGTGCACCCACGGGGACATATACCTCAAAGAAACTTTGTTACTGCACAGCGTGAGTAACTTCCTCTTCTTCTTCGGTGGTGTCCCCGTAGGTGCTCCACTTGAGGTGAGTACAGAGCAGTAGCCTCATCTGCAGAGGCGGGATCAGAGTTCAATTCTGTCTGCTATGGATAGCACCGCTGAGGCCAATGCTGATTCTCGAGCAATTGGGTTGATGGCATAGTGCTTAGCAGAAGTTATGTCCAAAGACCATGTCACCATATGGCGTCTTGGATTGAGACTCCTTTGAGAAAAGCTAAGGAAGTGGATGTAGCTCTAGTGGAATGAGACGGAATAGGTGTAGATATGGACTTATTTCGTAAAGTATAGCAAGTGGTAATACATTTCATGATTATTTTAGATATACGCTGTGAGGACAACGGTTGGCCCTTGGATCTTCCGTCAGAACATAGAAAAAGCCTCTGGGATCGTCGAAATGGGCAAGTCCGTTCCAGATAAAAAGCGAGTGCCCTGTGGACATCTAAGGTATGTAGATGGGCTTCATAAGTCGTTGCATGCGGTTTGGGGTAAAATGTTGAGAGTACTAGCAGCTTGTTGATATGAAATTCCGAATTCACCTTTGGCAGAAATTTTGGGTGAGAATGTAGTATTACCCCTTCGTTGGTGAACAGGATATATGGAGGAGTGTCTGAAAGAGCTGCCAATTCTCCAACTCGTCTGGCCGACATTATAGCTAGAAGGAATACTACCTTCATGGTGAGCGTGTGAAAGTCACATGAGGCTAGAGACTCAAAGGGTGGATATGTGAGAGTGACCAAAACAAACTCAAGATCCCACAGAGTAGGTGGTTTCCTGTGCAGAGGGTGTAAGTTCATTAAACCCTTCAGGAAATGTTTAGTCATTGGGTGAGACATAATTGGGTGAGATACAATTGAAAAATCTTCAATCGATTGTCTGAATGCAGAAATCGCTGAGAGATGGGGCGTTGTTGCTGTTGTGGATGGTCCTGTTGTCTGAACCTGGGCACCCCATACGAAAAGGGCCTCTGTCAGAAGTAGGGTGTATATCATTTGCGACGATATGGAGGTGTATACATCCCTAGCGTTTTCAGGGTAGTTCTAGAATCCTTTCCAGAATGCAACACTTGGTCCGTTTTCTCTGCAAATAGACTCTGTCTGTCAAAGGGCAGGTCTTCTACCTTAGATTGTAAATCCTTAGGTACGGATGTCATCTGTAGCCATGAAGACCACCTCATAACTACTGACATCACCGTGGCCTGTGCTGCTGCATCGACAATGTCCAGGGAAATTTGCAAGGCCATTGTTGAGGCCATATAGCCTTCCTGGATAACTGATTTTCTCGTCGGGCAAGTTCTCTAAAACTACTACCATCTTTGAATAATTATCAAAGCTATGGTTGGACAGATGAGCAATATAGTTCGCCATTCTCAGTATAAGTGATGCGGAAAAATAAACATTTCATCCAAAAAAGGTTTAAGCATTTAGATTCTTTATCAGCAGCAGCATTCCGATGTTGTGGTGTCTTGGATTTTTGCTGAACTGCATCCTCAACAAATGAGTTCAGTTGAGGGTGCATGAACAGAAAATCCATCCCCTTCGGGGGAACGAAATATTTCTTGTCTACCCTCTTATGAAATTAACTTACTATTAACTATTGACTAACTAACTATTTACACAATTCTTTGTTTAACAGATGAAGAAAAGGGAGTTGCTCCACCTGCAACCATTGAACGGTAAGGAGGAACTGGAGGGAAGCCGGACTCAGCGCAAGCTAGTAATCAGCGCGAGCAGCACGCGCTCTACGCATGCACGGTCCAGCAGAACCATCGCTGATGACTCTCTGACCTGCAGCGCCGGGACGAGCCCGACACCTCAAGTGGAACACCCAAAGGGACACCACCGAAGAAGAACAGATGGTAACAAATGTTTCAACATACAACCTACCAAGAGATCTGGGGAGGAGGGTGCTGGAGGCAAGGTTGTGTTCAATAGTACCAGATTGGAGAAAAGTATTTCCTTGCCATCTCTCACATGTCCAAATGGTACCAAAGCTTGCTTAGAGCTGTATTTGCTCTTAGAAGAGCTCTGTGGTTTCCTGACTCTGCTGGTACCGGAGAGGTAACCTGAATGGTACTGGGCAGAGAGGTTAAATATTCTGAGACCACTGACCCAGTGGGAGTTGAGGTATTTTAGGAAAAGTCTCTCTGAAAGGTGAGTTCCGCTTTCTATGGTTTCTGAAGGTCTCAGAAGCTTTCCCTTATCTGAGGAAGTGTGAAGCTGACAGTGTACTAGATGTATCTGGAGACTGATGTACCCAGAAGAGAGGGGGAATGTCTCCTGAGCTGGCTCTGAAGCAGAGAAAAGGGAGCATGCTTTCATAAGCCTCAGTTTGATCTCCCACTTCTTCCTCACCCTGCACGTAAGAACTAAACAGAATTACACTCCCCTGGGACGTGTGACTTTTCCAGGCAGCAAACGCACTTAAAGTGGTCATTGCTAGCCAAAATGACCTCCTGGGCAAATAAGACACATTTTAAAACGGCTAGACATTCCCTCTTAGAAAAGCAAATCTCCCAAATGAAATGAGAAAAACTGTAGAACTAAACAGCACTACACTAAGCTAAACAATATATTTTAATAGATGAGGCCCATTCAAGGTGGACACACTACTGCTCCATCTCAGATCAAAAGAGGTAAAAAGGAACTAAGGGCAATTCACCTGTCCTGCCATATGTAGCCTCAGTGCAGGGCACAAGGCCGTGTACGGTGCATGCATAAGTCAAATGGATACTGCCAGCAGAAATCTCCACTTAAGGCACGTATACACATGAAGCAGAAGACCCAGGGGAGAAAAAAGACCTCTTACATACACATTCCTTCTTTGCGCTCTTGAACAAGTCCAGATGTTATTGAGCACTTACAGTAAACTGGAGGGAATTTTTCTTATATCTTCAAATAGCTCTTGGGAAATATTTGTGTAAAATGCATTACAATGAAGAAACAGTCTATAAATTCATTAAAGGTTCTCACCTTAGTCTTTCATTGCTTTTTAAACTTTTCATTCAAACTTTATCTTGCATTCTTTTAAAAGGCATCCATAATGTACAGGAACATTTGTAATGTCATCTGTTCAAACAAACCTAGAATCCTGAATTCAGAACTTGTCAGTGTGTTATAGATTTTTTTGTTTTGTTTTCATATGTATTTTCATAATTTTTACATTTTTACTAATTTGCTGTTATATATTTGGGATCTAAAAACTGCTAAATTTCTGAATCAATTATTCATTTGTATTTTGTTTTAAACACTTTACCTTGAATTCCATTCAATCTTCCTTTTTTGACTGAGATTGTTAAAAGCAGGAGTTATTCTTGTTGATGCCCAAGAACTTAGAACATGGAACAGAAGCTGAAATATGGTAAAACTGGCAACAGCAATGCCAATAATCAGTTTGTTGACGGTAGCCATCATTCTTCAGCCTGTTAAGTAGAAAGACAGAATTACTGTCTCAGTATAGATACTGATTAACTATTTTGTTTAACTAGTTGCAAAATAATTTTCAGCTTCCAAGATAGTAATTTCAGTCAGTGGTGGGCAACTTACGGCTTTTGGGTTTCATGAGGCCTACTGAGGTTCCACTTGCAGCCTGCCCACACACCCACTATGTGCTCCAAACGCACTGAAGTAATGAAGCCCTACACTTCCTACTCCTCCCCCTTCCTCCAGAACTTTCAGAGTGCCATGAATCCACAGATTCACACTCCATCCCAGCTCCTCTCCCTCCCTCCCAGTCTGAACGCCACAAATCAGCTGTTTATAGCTCAATTTCTGGGAAGGAGGAGATGGAGCGGGGACGGAGCGCAAATCAGTGGATTCATAGCACTCCAAAAGTGCTTGGAAGGAGGGGGAGGAGTAGGAAGTGCAAAGCTCCAGTGTCCCAGTGTATGAGAGGAGCAAGGGAGGTAAGAGGGCAAAGAGGAGATACGCAGGCTGCAGGTGAACTCCAGTGAGCCACGGGCTGTAAGTTCCCACCACTGGTCATGCAGCCCAGTGAGATGAAGGAGAGCCTTTCATGTGGCACACTCGCTAGTGTTGGTTGCTCATAGCTAATTTAATTAAAAACAAAAATAAAATATAGTGCTATACAGTATACAATAGCCTTCAGAAGTGCCACTGAATAGTGAATGTGTTCAATCTGCCCTTGAGGAGTAAGGGGATGAGAGGTGGGGAAGAAACACAAACAATTTTTTTTTACATTCGTACATATTTTCTAGACAGATTTGGTGGACAAAGCTCCCAGTTATGAAACTATGATTTCATACTTATGGAAAGAATTTCAGCACCATTCTCAAGGATTTAACAATTTGACTTTTACAGAAGTCAAAGAGATTTGCAAAAACTAAATTCCTATCCACACAGAAGAAAAAAAATAAACAACCTCAGTTATTCATGTATCCCAAAAATAATCCAACCCTTTCACAAGAGAAGCCAAACAAAATAAAGACACGATAACTTTTAGTAATTAAAAGATTTAAATAATTTCAAAAGGTGATATACTTAAAGGCTGTGTCTACACTGGGCCACTTATTCCGGAAAATCAGCCGCTTTTCCGGAATAAGCTGCGAGCTGTCTACATTGGCCCTTGAATTTCCGGAAAAGCAACGATGCTCTACTGTACAAAATCAGCCGCTATTCCAGAAAAACTATTCTGCTCCCGCTCGGGCATAAGTCCTTATTCCGGAACACTGTTCCGGAAAAGGGCCAGTGTAGACAGCCCAGTAGTCTTTTCCGGAAAAGCGCGTCTACATTGGCCAAAGACGCTTTTCCGGAAAAAGGGCTTTTCCAGAAAAGCAGCCTGCCAATGTAGACACTCCTTTTCCGGAAAAACTGAAAACAGAATAGTATTCCGTTTTAAGCATTTCCGGAAATTCATGCCAGTGTAGACACAGCCAAACTGTCTTAAGAGCCCAGGCTATAGAAATAGTTTTTTAGTGTATTAAAGCACAACGACCTTACCAAGATTTTGACTGATATTTCACATGCGGTAATAACTAACAGTCAGCCTCTTTCACAATGTCCTAGCTGTAGAGTCTTTCTATCAAAAATAGAATGCTCATGCCACCTTCCCTCTGGGGTGGTGTGACAGGGTGCCTGCCCTGCACTGGCCCTTTAAGACCAGGACCAGGCCCTGAGCCAGGGCGGGAATAGAGGGACCAGCTGAAGCTGTTGGGCTAATGAGAGCCCAGCTGTCAGCTACACAGAAAAGCCCGGTTGGCTTGGAAAAGCCCAGCTGAAGCCATTAGGGCAAGTGAGAGCCCAGCTGCCAGCTATAAATAGGGAAGCACAGTTTGCTTAAGGGGAGAGCTAGTAAAGGGCTGACTGTGGAGGAAGTAGGAGCTCCTAGGAGGGAGATGAGCTGGGGATAGCCAGCAAGGGCTGGGAGAGGGCCAGCCAAGACTCCCATTGGCTAGGGGCCGGAGGCAAGGCCCCAGGTTCGGAGGTAGATCACAATGCAGACTAGGTAAGCAGGGCAGTTGAGACAACCCCGATGCCAATGATGAGCAACCCATACAGACTGTAACTTGCCCTGAGATGGGCTAGATGAGGACAGTCAGGGGGCACTGAGGCACAGTAGGGGGCTTGCACCCTGACAGGTGGTTATATAGTGTTATTCTGAAAAATACATATGCAGAGTTTTAAAATATAGCTCAGAATTTTTAAATTTTTGGCACAGAAGTTCCAGGAGCAAATCCTATGGGTGATAGTGAATGGGTTGTAAAAAGAAAAGAAGTTTACAAATTTCAGCAACTGTGGGGTTGGCAAAGTAAAGGTAAGTGTGTAAATGGCATGTATTGGCATGACATTGCCTAAAGACAGAGTTAAGGTTGTACTGGCAAAACTGTACATATCTTTGTTTTCTGAAATTTGAGTTTTATTCAACAGTCTGAAAGGAAACAAAAATATCACCAAGCAATCTTTTCTCTAGATTAAAGTAGGGTTTTTTGCCCCTGAACAGGCAAAGAGAAGTTAGTAGTTATTTAGACAATTGTACATATCAAGTCCCACAATTGGCATACCAAGCCAGCAAGGCCTTACCATCCAACCCACCAAGGCTCTCCCAGCCCTGCCTTAACAAATATCCACAACCATGCTCCTGACCCATTCAATGCATTCCCCCTCCAACTTGCCCTCCTTCCCATTACTGTACTCTGGAGCTCCACAGCAAGCTGGGAACACATCTCATAGAAGTCTTCGCTCCCTGGTAGCCAGACATTTCTATTGCCTTTATGATGGGTTGGATTACAGAGGTCACCTTGAGCCTGTCACTCAATGTGCTGGTCATACCACTGAGTCCACCTAATGCCCTGTCCTGCTGAGCAAGAAGTTCTGGTCTCCCCATCAAAGGCACAGACTTGGGGAGTAACACATACTCTGATAACAGCTCTGGGAGGGCTCAACTGCAAGGACTTTATAGCATCCAGGAGCACAGACCTCAAAAGGGACCAAAACCCCAAATAAAAGTTTTACTCTTACTCTGTATAAAAGTTTTTAACAGAGAAAACTCGTAAGTTTGCTCTCTTTATCAATGAAGGAGAAAGATATACACTGTTGTTGCCCCTCCCCCCGTAACAATTTTTTACACTACGTTTGATAATAAACAAAAGCATTGTATTAAGTATAAAATGTAGGATTTGAGTGATTGCAAACAATAACAGAAAGATCAAAGCAAGTTACTAATTTAAAATAAACAAAACACACCAGTTAAACCTAAAACACTAAGGCTACGTCTAGACTGGCATGATTTTCCGGAAATGCTTTTAACAGAAACGTTTTCCATTAAAAGCATTTTCGGAAAAAAGCACTTTTTGCGGAAAAGCGTCCGTGGCCAATCTAGATGTGCTTTTGCACAAAAAAGCCCCGATCGCCATTTTTGCGATCGGGGCTTTTTTGCGGAAAACAAATCTCAGCTGTCTACATTGGCCCTTTTGCGCAAAAGTTTTGCACAAAAGGGACTTTTGCCCAAACGGGAGCAGCATAGTATTTCCGCAAAAAGCACTGATTTCTTACAGTAGAAAGTCAGTGCTTTTGCGGAAATTCAAGCGGCCAGTGTAGACAGCTGGCAAGTTTTTCT